GTTCGTGAAATGTGATCAAATGTATGACATCGTTTGACCTCTTATGCATCGAATACTCTCGACCCATTATGACACTGTTAATGGCGCCGGATTATGGCGCCTTGTCGTGAGCGAACCCTTTGTTGTGGGTAATGGCGAGGATTTCTCTGGGATGTTCAATCCTTGATGTGAGATCCGGTGCTGACGAGCATGCGTTTATTGTTAATTTTTATTTTCTCATACATGGACATTCCTCATTGCGAGCGCGAGCGACGGTTCCATTACTGTACAGCCATGCAAAACAGAACGGCCAATCAATGATTGATTGCTTTATTGGTTTATTGTTTTGTTGATTTATTCGTTTGTTGATTTATCGATCGTACTATATAACAATTGTTTTAATTTTATTTTTTTCTTTTTTATTTTCGAGTGAATGTCACTCCGTACTGATAATTTATGTGAATCACACAATAATAATGTCACGCCCGACACCTATCATATTACACCGTCYACCAATCATTCGTTCGGTCACTCTTTGAACTAATCGTTCATACGTAAAAACTATCTGTTCATCATGCGATCATTCAATGAATAATTCATTTTAAAGATTAGTCGGTCTATCAATCAATCAGTCAATCAATCATTCAATAAATCAATAAATCAATCAATCAATCAATCAATCAATCAATCATCGTATATATGCCCTACATATTCTAATGAAGGGAACTGTCCACAAATTGTTTGATAAAATTCTAAAGAATGTATGCAGAACACAGGGAAGTTGTTTGGTCAGTAAATCATTTGTATTCACAAACACAGACACACACGTTGGCTCGTGATGTGCAAAAGTCTATAACAATGACATTTGCAGAAGACAACACCGCGAGCCGCAACATTCGGGGGAGGTTGGCGGCTGTCGACGAGAGTTTGCGCTGTCTTGACGAATCTATGGAGGCAGTTGCTGCAAGTGTGCGTGATCTCGATGCCGCTCTCGGTCGACTGCGAAACGCTGACACCTGTGGAAAAAATGACGGAAAAAAAAAGCGAGATCCCTTGCTCTCGTTTTCCGGTTTCCTGGCTGCTGATTTGCATGCTATGCGACAAGAAATCGACTTGCACGAACGGCGTGTGAATGCTAGGGAAAATGAACTTCTGCATTTCAGAACACAAGCTGCTAATGCAAATCAGCCATGTGCTGATGATTCTCATATGAACAGGATGTTGTCTGGCACAGGGACTGTGAGGTGCAATAGTGAAGGTCGTTGCCTAGCATGTGGTCGCTACCCAAYTGGGAGCACAACAATGGTTCCCCCGTCTTCGGGGACCTTATGTCAGAGGAATATTCCATCGCCCAGCACATCAATCCGATCAGTGAACTCAAAAAGAAAATTGTCATTTACAAACATATGATGTTGCATTTGGGACCAAGAGAATGTGCAATATATGCGGGGTTCGTTTATTCGCAAAGTGATATGTTTCACACACGTAAGTACCTCTCTCTCTCTCTTTTTTTTTTTTTTTCTCTCTCTC